CTGACACCATGGCTCGCCGAGGAGGGACCTCATACCGCAGCGCCCTCGGCGGAGGCGCGGAATTAACTACTCCTGGTTCGAAGCTAGCTCCGAGCACGATCTGTTCGCTCGCTCCCCGCGGGAAGAGCGGCCAGCGGCATCACCTAAATGTGTTTCTTCCACCGTGCCCAGAGCAATTCAACCCTGCGGGTGTACAACCACGGCAAAAATGCAATATCAGCGGAGGCTCAGTTATACGATAACAGCCTGGGCAGCCGCTTGCATTTTGAGGCACATGCGGGAGGGCTGAGAACTCTAGTAAAACAAACATGAATATAATGAGATGTTGGAAAGAACATGCGGGGCTTGCGGAGAAGACGACGAAAACATGGAATACATCGTCCTCTCATGCTCAAGCCTGTAACCAATTGTATCCGGTGCAGTAGTGTCCCGCTCGTGAAAATGTACAGACACCTGGCCAGGCCCTTCCATGGGCCCAATTGCTGGCGGAAGCACTCGGATGCGAATCTCCTCCGACGGTGTCGGTGCTGAGCGCGTGTCAAGCCAGAGATGCTGCTGCTGTCCCACGAAGTGGGGTTGAAACGCGCGCCGCAGCGTCCACGAAGCCATTTGGACGGAGCCGGGAAGCCTTCGAAAGAACGAGAAGGAGGCCGGAGTATCGATGGCGAAGGACAAGAGCAAAGTGAACGCGAAGGGCAATACGAAAGTGAAAGATATAAGTGATATTTTTTAGAGCGCAGCTCTTAGGCGCCCATTTCCGGCTTGAGCAGCGTCGCCGTCGCCGTAACCGCGCGGTGCATGATGGGACGCGTGACGTCACTGGTGACACCATTGATGACGTCATCAGTGACGTCACAAACGAAGTCTCTGATGACGTCTTCACTATGACGTCACTGGTGACATCATTGATGACGTCATCAGTGACGTCACAAACGAAGTCTCTGATGACGTCTTCACTATGACGATAACGTGGACGCCATCGTGATGACGTCATCGTCACGTGACTTGCGTGGGGTCACGTGACCCCGATGACGTCTCGTGACCCTCGTGAGGTCACGCGACCCTCGTGAGGGGATGGCGACGCCGCTCGGAGGGAGAAGTAGCAGACAGGATGAGGTGAGGAGGAGGGAGGAGGGGCATACCCTCCCCTCTGCACCCTCCCCTCCTCCACCTCAAAAGCTGCCCTCTAATTCGGCATTACAGAGAGTTGTAAACGGCTCTAATTTTTTGGTTACTATTTTTCTGGCTAGGTAGGAACATGGTTCGGAACCGCCTGATTCAAAGGGAACAGCTACAACATCATCATCATCATCATCACCATGTCACGCTTTGGCGTTCATGGCGTCATTTGTCGCCCCTCCGGGACCACTTTGAATGCATAGCAAAATAGAACGCTAAACACATCGATCGCAGACGCGTTTCATGGCAAACGTAATATGAGGGCAGTGTAGCTTGTGTCCGACGGATTACAGCACGTTTCATGGTGTGAAATAAACGCTGATTAAAGTCGCGCCAGAAAAAACAAAACAAAGAAACTGCTCAAAACAGATTTGTTTTTCTGTCTAGGATACATACTAAACTTGCGAGTTATGTGACATGTGCCGTCACCCACCTGGAGCGCGGGGAAAATAAAATTCATATTGATTGTGCCATTGCCTTTTTTTTCTCAGTAGCTATTCTGAATGTAGAAAGAATACATGGCATTTCAAAAGAGTACGAAAAGCCGCTTTGCAGAGCTATCGCTGTAGAGGACACACTCACACGTTCTTCCCCATCCGGTCACAGTGCACGTTTGGTTTTCAAAGACCTCAGCCTTCTCGGGAAGGCAAATCGGCATCAGGGCACTGTCAGCACCGCTGAAGTCCAAGGGCGTCTCAAATTGGAGAAGCGCATAGTCGTAACTTCTTGACTGAGGGTCATAGTTCGGATGCATCGTCACCTGCGCTTGCGTAAAAAAACGAAAGAAAGAAAAACAAATACAGGTGTTAAAACCCGCAAATTGACATTGTTTATTAAAAAAAAACATTTGTTTGTAAGGTTACGCTTCTTATAAACCTTTCCAAAAGAAAAAAAAAAAAAAAGAGCGTGTGACTGGTGCCATTTTGAATGTTCGTGCGCATGGCGCGTGCTTTGCTCGCTTTCCGAAGCGACGATCACGCACATGCTGGCCAGTGAAGATCGCACGCTGGACTGTGATTTTGTAAACATTGGAAAAGTCTATATATCATGCGAAATAGTGTTCGCATACAGATTCGAAAGCGAGTCTCCGGGGGATCCACGCTTCGAATTCCGCGTAGCCACGAGTTCAAGGATAAAACTTGGGCACGCGGGCATTCGAACCGCGGATCTTGCGGTGATTCGTGTTTCCAGACGGTCTTTTGTATGATGCGTGAGCAGTGCGACCCATGCCTTACAGGCGGCTTTCCGAACCTCTCCAAGTGTCAATCAAAATTTCGGCCGAAGCCTTTTAGTGATTGTTGTCACTCTGAAGTATCGACCATACTGCTAATAAATTATGCAAAAGACTGTGTATAGACAGTATAGTGTCTTTACACAGGCTTTGCATCATTTATTGGATGGCGATGCCGCCTCACGGTTCCCTACAACTCTTATGGAGAGTTTTAGGGAACACGGTTCCCTAGAGCTTCCTATAGGGAGTTTTAGGGAACCGTGTTTGCACATCCGGTACAACACAATGGGCAATTCGGTGAGCACTGCGCATATCTTACCGCAGAGGACCATCCTACCGTACCTATGATGTGCAGAAACGATTCCCTAAAACTCCCCGTCTCGTTGGTCAAACAAAAGCTGACTGCAGTCGTGTTCAAAGCATACACATGCAAGAAGCAAACATTCTCCAAACATGCTTGCCGTGCGTGCGCAGATGGTACTCCTGTCATCCAGTCACAAGGACAAAATAATCACAAATAAAATTGAAGAAGCAAGTAATGCTAAACGGACGCACTACAGATTATTAGAGTTCCTGTATAGGCTCCCTATACGGGAGCCAGAGTTGCGCGTTCATGCGTGGCATGTGGATATAGCTCCTCACGTGACTGGATTCGGCGAATAGCAGCGCCGTGCGTTCGAGGCGCGCGGCGCGCTCAAAAGCCGAGGAACGTACGCCGGGGCGCGTGCAACGTCTACTTTGCTGCACGACACTTGATACGGCTCCTGACGTGATCGGATCTCGGCGAATAGCGGCGAGGGCGGCACGCGGCACGTGGAATCAAACGCGCAACACTGGCTCCCGTAGGCAGCCTATACAAGAACTCTACAGACTATGTGTGACTAGCGCCACCTTGTGTTTTTCTTTTTTTAGTGATGTAGGGAGCAGTGTTGACTGAGGCTTAAAAATTTTTTGATGAGGTTTTTTTTTTTTTTTTTTTTTTTTTTTTTTTCTCGGAATATTTTTATTAACTTTGACTATTTTTCTGCTTCTTTGAAGATTGAAATAAGATGAGGTATAACATTTTCCCGCTTACGGCTGAAACGTTTCGTGTTCCGTTAGGATCACGCAGACGGTATCCCCCAACGCCGATTCTGTACCTAGACGGAGATGGGTTGCTGAAAAAAAGAAAAAAAGAAAAAGAGTTACATTATAAAAACAGTTGGTATTTAGGGGAAATATACACACTTTAAGAAATATTGGACGCCTATTAAGGCGAAACCCTTACTTGTCCTATTGCGCTAAAAAGCGGCGTCGTTGTGCCCGAAAGATGGCCATAAAATACGTCTTCAAGCACGCTCCGCCCACGGTCGCGCTCGCTCAAGTGCGAGAGCGTGACGTCACCGCCGGATAGCCGTGTGCAAAAGGTGCGCTCCGGACTTCACCTGTGCTCGTTGTGTTCTTCGTGCGATGAACTGTAGGGCGACCGAGTCTGCGTCGACATCGGCGGCAGCGTCTATATCTACGGCGGCATCCGCAAGCAAACGAGGCCGCCCACGCAAACACGCCAAAGCCAAGGGAGCAGGCTGTGGAGACGAGGATGACGTCTAGGGCGTGGTTCTCGACATCCTCCTAGACGCCATTCTTGATGTCGTCCTCGACGTCGTCCTAGACGCCGCTTTGTGGTCCTCTGAGAGGTCGTCCTCGGCGATGTCCTAGAAATACTTGGCGCCGATCTCTAGGACGTCGTCTATAGATGCCTTGCACGTACGTCATGAAAAGTTGCATGCTGGGATAGCCGCCACCGTAGCTCTGTACCGAAACCAGCCAAGCCGAATCGCCATTGCAGCGCCCGTAGCCGGCCGGGTCAGACGAGTAAGGCGAGCGTCTCTCTCCGATTCCGTTCTCCGCCTCGCCTTTTTGCCGAGTGTATTTTTTTTTTTTGCCATGGTTGCATGCGCGGTTGTCGGTTATGCGAACAGGACGAGGAGCAAGAACCGTCGCGATCGCAACACAGTCTGCGACGCGAGGTTTTTCAGGCTGCCGAAGGTGATCACGCGCCAGTGTCAGCGCACGTTTGAGCTGTCAAAAAGGCGAAGAAGCGCGTGGGTAACTACGATCAACAGAGACGACCTGGTCGCAAACGATAACACACGCGTATGCAGCATCCACTTCGTCACAGGTAGGAACGTTTTCTGGCGTTTCTTTTTTTGCGGGATCCGTCGGTAAACTGGGTGCTGGTGTAACATCGCAATGTAAACAAGTGCGCTCGCTGCACTGAGTCTCGCTGCCGCGAACGCGCCAACGAACGCCGTTCTTCTAATCTTACAGGCGCTCCCTCGAAGTTGTTTGATGAGACGAATCCTGAACTGGGATTCCCAGTCTCAAGCTTGCCTACACAGACAAAGGGGATCGTTTGGCTTCACGTCGCACCTCTCGATTCAAAAGGACGCGACGGCGCAGCAATCCGAAGGCATCGGCACGCCCTCCAGACGATCTGGGTTTAGACGCGGAAAAATCCGGTAACTTACTCTGCTGATTGTTATAAACATTTACGTGGTGCCTTTAACTAGTTGGTTTTATTACATGCAGCTAATTATGAAATGTTTTTATGTGTTTCATTGTCATCACACTAGATGGAGAGCCTGCAGCAGGACAGCGCTTGGACCCCCAGGACATCGAGAATGTCAGTATTTCCGGGGAGACAGGTAAGCATGACCTTCGCTTCATCGCTTCGTGTTGACAGTATCTTAAGCAGTGCTCAGGCCTTTGTAGAAGACATTTTTTTAAGGTCTCGCTTAAGAGCTCGGTCACAAAGACTCCATTTCTCACTGCAGGCACCAGCGTGCAAACTGACGTCACAGCTGCCCAGATTGCTGCAATGGAGGATGACCTGGCCTTTGTCAACACCGAGGTGTACGCATTGAGGCAGAGCAAAGAGGATTATCAGCTCACCGCAGCAGCCCTTCAGCGTGACCCCAAGGAAGTCAAGTGCTACACCGGATTAGAAAGTTTTGATGTCCTTTTCGGAGTGTACCACCTGATTGAGTGTGCTGTGCATCACTCCACAGCGAACAGCCTGAGCAAGTTTCAGGAATTCCTGGTTTTCCTGATGAAGTTGAGACATAATTTAACATTCCAGATCTGGCCTTTCGCTTTGGTGTGTCCGAGGCAACCACTAATCGAGTTTTCGACCGCTGGTTGCATGTCGCCTACTTTCGCCTCAAGAGCCAAATCATCTGGCCAGAAAGACGGACGCTACAACAAACTATGCCACAGCCCTTCTACGATAACTTTGGGGACAAGGTGTCGGTTGTTCTGGACTGCTTTGAGATCAAGATTGAACGGCCCTCATCCTTGCTCCCAAGGGCACAGACGTGGTTCCAGTATAAATCAAGCAACACTGCCAAATTCTTGATAGGTATAGCACCACAGGGGACCACCACTTTCATATCTGAGGGTTGGGGAGGGAGAACAAGCGACAAACATGTCACAGAACACAGTGGTATCCTCGACAAGCTGCAACCGGGAGATGTCGTCCTAGCAGACCGTGGTTTCGACATTTCGGACAGTGTCGGACTTCATCGTGCCAAGCTCCATATACCCGCATTTACGAAGGGCAAGCAGCAGCTGAGTGTATCAGATGTGGAGACGACAAGGAAGCTTGCCAATGTAAGAATACACGTTGAGAGGGTTATCGGCTTAGTACGCAACAAGTATATGATTCTGAAGACCACTTTGCCAGTCCTCTTTGTTACTTGCCGGCCTGGCGATGATCTGCCAGCAGTCGACAAAGTGGTAACGGTGTGCGGTGCCCTTTCCAACTTCTCTCCCTCAGTAGTACCGATAAATGATGCCGCTTCTGAATGAAGCAAATTGCCTGCTAATTCGTCAGCTGTATCATACACCCTTAGAAAGTAGCCGGTGTGTTTGTTTTCCCTGCAGAGCACTTGGAGAGCCAACCGTTGAAACCTACTGGGAGATCCTGGTGCTCGCAGTCTGGCACTGAGCACGCGTTTTACATGCACGTCATGCCCAGTGCCACAGTGCAGTTGGCATTTCTTGATCTTGCTTAGGTCTCTTCCGTAGATTGGAGTGATCGGCTCTTCAAGTGCTCTGCGGAGAAAGTAGATGGTCAGGCGCCTTCTACGGCATACCACGGTACCTGGACGTCTGTAATCTATGAACTCTGTCAATTTTAATCTTAGTTAATTTTTTGCCACAAGCAAAGCAAAAGCAAATTTGATGTAAGTGTTCATACAGCGTGAGAAAATTCTGCCAGTGTAAGGCGACACATGTTTAAGCTCTAGATGAGAAATTTTGGTTAGTGCGGGGGATCGGTGGCCGAGTGGGCAAGCGCACACCAGCTTGGAGCACACGGAGCGAAAGCTAGCGCTGCAGAACCCAGGATCCTGGGTTCAAGCCCTACCCCTGCCTGTTTCGATCTGGATGAGCATCGTAGCGGCATGTGGTCGTGTATCACTACTGCGTGGTGCACGTTAAAGACCCCAGGCTAGCGGTTGTGCTGCATTGGCTAAATTTCTCATCTACAGCTGGGAGACTCTTCGCCTGCTGAGACAGACCCAAGTTCTAGGCTGTGTAGACATACACACAACCCAATGTTTTTTTAGTTAGTGCAGTACGCCCATTAGTTTCGGCCCACTAATGATGCGCAAATGAATGTCAGTTTGATGCTCACCCAGACGAATGTCGCAGGCATCCCCGAGCTCTCTATGGGACAACCAGTTTTTAAGAAACCTTACAATTATTTTTGTGACAGCTGAATGTGGGAAGCTAGATTCTGGAATGTTAAGTTACGTCTACTTCATGAGGAACACCATATAGTACTTCTAGAATTTATTCAAGCTGTTCGGGGCAAAATTTATTTTTCCGAACATGCTATACTGTATAGAGAGTTTGTTCTGGCCAACCCATGTCCAGCCAAAAAAGGCCTTCTGTGGTTTTCTTTTTTCTAGCTTTGTGATTGCGTTTAGATGTGTCGATTGCTTGCAGAGACCCCAATAAAGTACTGTAAACTGCAGTGCTCCTGCTTCAATTGCCGCATGTTATGTAGAGCTTGTTTTGTGAGGTAGACCCACCCAGTAACAGTGAAGCAGTTAGGTCACCTACAAGTGGCTTTTATTTGTAACCCACCATTGGGCATTTCATCCCACCCTACTTTCTCTGTTGAACCTTGTGAACCATAATATTCTCACTAAACCTAACAAGAATGCTGCAGTAAGTTACTAACAAGACTGCAGTAACTAGCAATATAAAGACACAGGCAAAAGGTAGGAAAGTATAGCAAAACAGTTCAGTAGCTGCCTTCTGTAAGTGCAAGGAATCATTTTGCTGCCTTGCAGTCTAGGCAATACCACTGCTTCTTCTTCGGAGCACGTGAAAGGCCGAGACACGTAAAATGAAACCATCTAAACTTGCAGCCCTCGGCATCGCACGCAACCATTTTGCCTGACTCTGGGCTTCTGCAGAAGCAAAAGTAGCTCGGTTGAAGTCCCTGCTCTGCATCAGGTGTTGTGTTTCTCGTGAAGTAGTGCGAGAGCAACTCCGGAAGCACAGCGTGGACAAACAACAGAGTTGCTTTCGGCAGTACCTGCGACCAAAAGGCCTTATCCCTGAAAATTCGTTCCACGTGTATATTTTTTGCAGTCCATACAACAAAGTTGCAGTACTCGACGTTGCAGACGGCCATTTTGGTTTGCACCTGGTAGAAGTACAAGTGATCGTGCTTGAGCGATAGGCATCCATTCACACGTTTCAGGCAGAATTTGGGGTCGGCGCACACATCTCGTGGTTCAGAGTCACTGCCGCTGCACTGCGCCAAGGCATCGCTGCTCGTCGCAATGCAAGGAAGGGACGCCGAGTTATTAACACAGCGCTGATCAGTGACATGCAGTTCTGATTCCCGCTGTGTGTACGGACACTTAGCTTCAACAAGATCACTCCCACAGCAGTCGCACTGTACCGCGGCATCTGGGCTGGCTGCGAGGTGAGGATACTGAGCACTTAGATACAGCCCAGCCCTGCGGTACGTGAAGTTAGCATGGCCACTTTTGACCTTGCCTACGTAGCTCTGAACTGCCTCCTCTTCATGGTCCAGTCCCCATCTTGTTGCAGGCGTTGAAAACTTGCCGTCTTCGAAATAACAAATGCGCTTTAGCACGCTGAGGGATGGTTTTTCGACGCTCGTCGAGCACACCGACTTCATTGTAGACGCGGTGATTCTCCCCGTTCGGTAAAGGTACCATTTGGGGCACTTGGACTGGGCTCGTGTTGTTGCTTCGGCAAACTTGACCATTGCAGCACTAACAGAAAACGAGGCGAAAAATGCATCTGCCCGTTCAATTAGCTTGTCAAGGGTGTCTGAGAGGGCTTCTTGAGTAAAGATACCCCGAAGTGTGCTTGGCTCTCTTGCTTGTGGAGGGGGAAACACAATGTTTCGTCCCTCGACCATCATCAGCACTGCTGGTTTTCGTTCAGCAGCAGAACATACGTCGTAGAGCCTTCTGAGTTCATCCTCGGATGGTTCCGGGATGGGGAGTCTCGTGCTCGCAACAACCTCTTCCTCACCGCAGCCTTGAAGGCGTTTCTTCTTGCTCCTGGCCGAAGAGAAGTCGATCTCTCTGAGCCTCTTGTATTCCATAGCCGACGTGTAGGCAGGCAGCCACCTGTTCTCTTTCTGGGTGCTGGTCGACGAATCTCTGATTCTTACAATTGTCTCGACGGCGAAGAGTGTGGCACCAATATGCGAGCAGGCTTCTCCGGCTCCAGCCATACAAGTGCAGTGGGCAGTAATGATACTGCCATCCCCGTGCACTAGGATCCAGACCTTGGCTGGGGTCTCCCTTCGCCTTTGGGAGTGGTTCACCTGAAATGACAAGCACAGAATGTAGATTAAGAAGACAATTATGCATAGGGCTAAGCAGGGTGAACAAATGGAGGGATAACGTTTTGGATAAGCACTTTCAAAAAAGAAAAATTAGATTGATTTGATTGCTCATAACCGCTGCAATCCCCCCCTCCCATTTTCTTTCTCCTTAAATTAATTCAGATTACGTTTTCCTGCATTGTGTAGTCATGCAATCGCAGCTTAAAGGTGTGTACACACTCAAACGTTTTTTTTTTTTTTTAATTCAGTGCTCACCGCTGTTCGCTGCAGGCTTCAAACCTCTCTTGCATGCACTTCTACGCAATAAGCTTCGGGCGACCGCCGAGCGAGCGTGCGTTGACCGAGCCAAGGTCAGAAAACGACGGTAGCGTACGTCACGTACATACCTCGCTGAGCAAAAGGGTCCTGTCGCCGCTCATTCCATGCGCCGAGGGACCTTTCACCCAACCACTGGTGAAGTAATTGTGCGATTCAAGGGACTTGAACGCCTTCATCTCTTGAAGTGTCGCGTAGCTGACGGAGAACACCAGGTAGTTGACGATGTCTCCGTGCGTGATGTTGGGGAAAACACCAGCGTCGGCCGTCGTGTCAACACCGACACAAAGTTCGTACGGATCTTCACCGTCACAAAGTTCCAACTTGTTCACATATCTGGCTCTTGTGGGGCCAACGAGCTCGTCGAAATAGCCAGCACAAACCGGCACACTGCGCTCTTGCGACGGCGGCATCTTTTTCCCGACTGCGCTGCGTAAATAGACTAGAGCGACTCGTTTGTGGCGTGACTGAGTTCAGAAAACACTTGAAGTGATTAAAACAACAGAAAAAGAAAGACGTGAAGCTGCCAAAACGCGCAAAAACTGGCCGACTACACGGAACGGGTCACACCGAAGGCTCGCCAAGCGCTCGGGCGCTCGCGGTGGTACGGAAAAATGGCGGCGGGGGGCGGAGCACCGCGGCGTGATGTAACGTGCAAGGCATGTATACGTCGTCCTAGTGGACGTCCTAGACGTCGTTCTTGGTTTCGTATTCGACGTCTTCCTTACGCCGTTCTTGACTTTAACCTCGATATGTGCACGGCAACGCAGATGCTTTCGCATTCCTACACGTAAGTAGTTTTAAGTGTCCTCCTGTATTTCTTTTTTCCGGAAAGCACCTACGAGAGCCTATCGATGCTCTCTCTGGAGAGAGAAAACTCTTGGTAAATGATAAAACTGTAAAAATGTTTAGGCATGAAAAAAAGAAAAAAAAGGTCGGCCTTGTGGCACAGATTATGTCGGGGCTTAAATGTACCAGTCCGATTGAATGATAGGCGACTACCTTCAAAACTCTTCTGATCTTTTGATAACGTGCGCAGCCCCGCATTCGCCTCACCTGCCGTCAAGTGGTTTGGTGTGCGAGCCTGGCTCTCCGCTGTGCTCGCATAAAGCGGGAAACACATGTACGACGAAACCGTCCGATCCGACGTGCGGACTGCCGGAATGACCTTGGGGGGAGAGGGTTTTCGTAGCATCGGAGAGCGTTGAAAACCCTCGCCTCCGACCGTCGTATTGCGCGGTCGGACGTCGGATCGGACGGTTTCGTCGTACATGTGTTTCGCGCTTAAGACCCACGCCGCCACAAAGGCCCCCCCCCCCCCCCCCCCCTTTCCGCCCCGGTAGATTCCTGACTTTTGATGTGCGAAGTCAAAGCACAAACTTCAGAAACTGAAGTTGCTGTTCCGGCAGAGGAGTCCGTTGTTGTGCGGACAGCGGCCGTCTAGTTTGGTGCAACGCGGAAGTCAAGTTCGTCTGCTTCTTTTGGAGGGGTTGTAGTGACGTCAGAACGCCGAGCTCTGATTGGCTATGATTGAAGAATAGTGGGTAGACCTAATAGGCCATGCTTGCTTTGAGGTCTACCGTCTATCCTTCAATAAGTGCCGTTTTACTTGGGGTGGGATCTTTTACGCAATGTATTCAATTTGAGA